CTTGAATAAAGGCGCTATATAAGCACATGCCATTTACCGTTTACTTTTGGGACAATATGGTCTCATAAAGAGTAGATTTATATACATGTTTAAGCCAGAATGTTTTGACATTTAAATATGATTTCGATAAGACTTCAAGGTTCCAGTTTTAAAGATCTGGTAAAATAAATGAAACAGCTTGAATTGTATAAAACCCTTTTGTGTCTAATCTTAACTTAAACATGCTTTATATTTTACAAACTAAAATGGGTCAATTAAAGTGAAATAAAACTGCTTCATTTGAACATTTCACAAGAAATCCATGCGAAACAAACAGATGGAATTGACTAAGAAAGCCTTGACTTGTTTTGGGGTCCCAGATAACAAACCTGTCTGCGGGCTGTCAGGGAAAGGAGGGAGGTGGGGGGCCGTTTCAGGCGGCGGTGAAGACAGAGAGGAGGTGGACCGGGCTTTGGAAGGGACCAGTGCAGAGAAAGAGCGGGCCAGGAAACCATCCGAGGAGCGGCCATCGCTGTGGAAGCTATGGGGCCTACGCAGGGCTAAGATCCACAGGAAATGGCAGCAGGATGTTTGAGAAGGTTGGGATGAAAAAGATAGAAATAAGTGAAGCTATGGAGCTCAAAGCGTTAGCTGAAAACTCAAACACAAGAAGGAGGAAATAAAGCAAACATTCCAACCTGCAGATAAGCTTGCCTGTTATTATTCCAACAGGAAAACCTATGATGGTTTTTCTTAATCAGAAATAGGGTCGGGCAGTTAATTGCATTTGCAATATAGTTGGAATTTAGAGAAATTTTCTTATCGCAGAAGCATTCAGCTTAGTCACAATACATTTAACAAGAGGAAGACACTAAATTTCTCCCTCCAGGCCTTTAGGTGGCGGTAAAGGGCTTAAAGTTGGCATGTTGTCGCAAAGAAGGGAACAGAGCGTTGCAGCTAGCAGTAGATCTATGCATTATAGGAGAGTCGGCCTGAAAAGGGGAAAAAAAAAAAAAAATCGCACATCCTATGCCCGGCTTTACTCTTCATTAAAGATCAAATATTTATCTTGCACAACTTAAACAAATATGAATATATTTAGAAATATTTTAATTTTATAAGGTAATTTCTATTTGTTTTTATTTATTTCTTAATCCAGGTCAGTGGGAGGGTGCGATGGTGCCCTAGCGCCCTCTATTGGTCAGCCACCACTGGCATTTAAGGTACACTATGCAACCGGTGTTGATTTTTCAGCGAGGCTCCCCCCAGAGGCCAAAAGTAAAAGTGCACTGTCGTAAATATGGAGCCTGGCAGCTTTCTTTTAGCTCTCGCCATTCTGAAAAAGCTTGCCCGATGTTCACCCGTGTACGACTCCTCTCTCTGTCCGGAGCCCTTTTCCTATTTCTTGCCTGCTCCGACATGAGCTTTCGCTGTTTTCTCGCTGGTTCCGCCATGATAACTGCACAAATATCGCCACTGCGCTAGCAACGAGCATGCCTTTCACTGGAGGTGTGTAGCAGTTCTCGCCATAAAGCAAGACTGACTCTCGCGATGCACGAGACTTCTGAGCCTGTGGGTGCGGGTCGAGGGCTCCTGCAATTGCAAGTACGGTATTTCCCCTACAGACCACCAGGGCGGCCGAGAATAACTTTGTTTGACCTGAAACGACTCATTTAATCATCCAAAACGTTATGGAACACATTAATTAACTGAAAAATGTTGCATAGTATGCCTTTAACTAAAGCGGTCAATGTAAAATCCTAATATTGGTAGAAAGTCAAACGTGAGGGTATTGCTAAGGATCTGTTACCTTATTAGGACAGTGTAAGGCCAACTTCCTGTGAATATGCTACTATTTGGGGGCATACAGGTTTAGGATTAAGGTACAAACTGAGTTTTAGTTTAGTGTTAGTTATATTGTTTCTATATTGGAAATACCATATTTTCCAAAGCGCACCTCACTGTAAGCCACACCCACAAATTATTTTTTGTGGGTGTGGCTTAAAACTGGAAATGTACATATATAAGGGCTACCAGTGTTGCCAACTCAGCGACTTTGTCGCTATATTTAGCGACTTTTCAGACCCATCCAGCGACTCTTT